CTCTTTTCTCTCTCTCTGTCTCTCTCTTTTCTCTCTCTTTGTTTCTCTCTTTGCTCTTTCTTTGTTTCTCTCTTTTCTTTCTCTCTGTCCCTCTCTTTTCTCTCTCTCTGTCCCTCTTTTCTCTCTCTCTCTCTCTCTCTCTCTCTCTCTCTCTCTCTCTCTCTCTCTCTCTCTCTCTCTCTCTCTCTCTCTCTCTCTCTCTCTCTCTCTCTCTCTAGATGGTTAAAGACCGAGGGGCTTGCTGAGTGAATCAAAAGAAGGTGGGTCAGCCAACATGAAGAGAACTTGGAATAGAGAGCCATGGAGAAAATGGAGGCCAAAGAGGGACCTGTCATAGGACTGAGTACTGGAGCAATTGAGAATATATATCATCATGAAATGGAATGACCATTAGGCTGATCAGCCGTGACATCCCAAGCACTCATATTTGGGATGTAATCAGGAGCCATAAAGGAAACAAAGTAAAGGTCCTCAAGTTTTTTCTTTACTCGCAGTTCCATTTAACTAGGAAAGCTATCTCTTCCGTTCGTTAAGTATTGATAAACTTCTATTATGCGTCTGCCGCGAACTACCAGTTGCACTGATAAACGGCTTCTGTAGAAACCACTGCAGCTTCACCGTTAACTTCATTTGGACCTAGGGTACAGCTTAATGCCCTAACCCAGTATATGCAAATTAGCGGCCGTGCTCGCGCGCGCGGGTAATGTGTATAAGCATATACTCGTGTATATATATATATATATATATATATATATATATATATATATATATATATATATATATATATATATATATATATATATATGTATGTATGTATGTATGTATGTATTACTATTTATGTGTGTGTGTGTGAGAGAGAGAGTACGTGTACGTGTACGTGTATGAATACAGAAATGTGTTTGTGTGTATATATACATGTATGACTATATATATATATATATACATATATATATATATATATATATATATATATATATATATATATATATATATATATATATATATATATATATATATATATATATATATATATATATATATATATATATATATATATATATATATTATCCATGCATTTATATTTATATTCCAATGAATAAGAATCCGCCAGTGTTTTCAGTCCCTTCCCTTCCTGCAGGCCGTCCTCCCAGACTGCCGCATCCAGAATTTCACTTCAGACTGGAACAGCGGTGTGTACCTGAGTGCTCTGTTGGACTATTGTAAGCCCGGACTTTTCACCACGTGGAAGAACCTAAACCCAAGGAATTCGTAAGTAAACACCTATTACTACCATATGTTCAGGGTAAAACATAGGAATCAAGGTTAAACTAACTTCAGAATAGCTTGAGTGGTGCCCTGGGAAGCTCGGTGGGTCTATGCCTTTCTTTAATAATTTTTACTTATAATGAATCTTATTACAAAATGTTATGTCCAATACAATTCATGGATAGTTTGTAATATTGTTTGTTCGATATGGAAATAAGAACTATCAATAAATGATAGCCAACGTGAGATACTGGCAATCGCACATAATTCAGCATTATTGCCTATTCACTATCTTTAGAAGCAAAATCTCTCTCTGTGTCTGTTGCTTTAGTCTCTCTCTCTCTCTCTCTCTCTCTCTCTCTCTCTCTCTCTCTCTCTCTCTCTCTCTCTCTCTCTCTCTCTCTCTCTCTCTCTCTCTCTCTCTCTGTGTGTGTGTGTGTGTGTGTGCGTGTGTGTGCGTGTGTGTGTGTGTGTGTGTGTGTGTGTGTGTGTGTGTGTGTGTGTGTGTGTGTGTGTGTGTGTGTGTGTGTGTTTGCATGTTTGGGCATTATGTATCATAGGGAAATTTGCGAAGTAATGTTTCTCCTGGGCTTCTTAAAGTATATGTGGCCAAGCCTGCTTTGAATATTTGGGCTGTCTCAGCTGATGCAATACCTCTTTACTAGCCTGGCAGCGGTGGCCGGCGGTCGTACAAGTTCACAGCCCTTCAAGTAGGGAAATATGATGGTGTCATGAAAGAGGTCATCAAGGATAATGATGCCTTGGATTACAGACAATGCTAACCTACTAGTCTTATTTTGTGAAGAATAGCTTGGGCTCCTCTTGATGAGTTGAATGTCAAGGATACTTACTAATCATCAGGGTGGAGAAGAGAGACGGCTAAAGCACCGCATCCTGTTTTTCTCTGAATAGTGACCCTAAAATGATTTCCAATCTAGGTTTGCCTTTGACTTCCCCTATTCCACTGTGTCCAAAATAGCAGAAGAGCTTGCTATTTTTTTAATGTGTAACATTGAATTTATCCATTAGGTAATGATCCACTTCCACCGCTGCTGCTGCAAAGTGAAATCGTTTCTTTTTCAGTTTAGTGAGTCTTTTATATGCTGCTTTTTATCTAAGCCCAGCACACTACCAACAGACATAGATTAGGGCTGGAATCTAGTCTTACTTTCTCTCCGTCGCTTCTTCTCACATTTTACCTCTCAGTAAAAATATGAATTACCAACAATGTCAT